GACTCGGGTCACTCGCTGTGCCCCTTAGAATTACTGTAATCTCACACACAAACCCTCCTGAAGATCATTAACGCTTAAGAGAGCAGGCCGGAGCACAGACCTGGGTGAGCCAGCAGTTGGTGGTCATGATCTGCTCCCGCTCATTCTGAAACACAAWGAAACGTGGCTGCGGTCTTTAAASATAAAAATCATTTATGGTTTGTGTGTCTTTTTATCTGTGTTTACCTACCACGTTAATGAGCTGGGCCAGAGACACCTGTATGTAAATGGTGACCTGTTGGCTGTTGTTGACGGCTGGTCTGATCAGCTTGTTATAACGCTCAGGTGACAACAGGTGACTCACCAGCCTCTCCTCTACATCCGCACACAAGGCAGCTGTTTAAAAAGAATTAAAAAGAAAAAAAATACGGAAATTAAATCCTACATAATTGGATTCAGTCTTTGTGTTTTTGGGGCATGCGGCATCAGGTAAGAACAGAACCAGAATTCAATTCACATACTGTCATTTTAATTATTATTTATTTGTAGCCCTCCCTGTACGTTAGGAAATTTCACTTTCCATCATATTTCAGATAACATGTTGATATATTGCATCATGAAGATTGTTGACAAAAATGAAGCAGATTTTGGTCTTCATCAGTTTTAATTCCAAAATCCTGTTTTTAGTATAAACACAACTCATCTGTTAATACTGTATAAGACCACCTGGCTGGATCTGAGCTGAACATCTGATATTTCTTGTTTCAAAGCAAAACCTTCCTGGATTAACGTTAGGTTTATACTGTACACGATGTATTGGAAAATGGAAATACTTTTTTAGCTTAATGTCTGTTTGTGACAGAAAAAGCTTGGTGAATTGGAGCATAAAGTTATGAAGCTTTCAAAATGAGGAAAACCTATATTTCATCCACGCAAATAATATTAATAATGACCATATAAAGCTGTGATTGTCTTGTATCGCGGTAAACAAATATAATATGTTGTTGTGGAACTAAGGCCGGAAAAGCCTTGTATTCCTGAATAAACTACTTACTATCCTGTAAATGTATATATTTACACAAGTCAAAGGGAAAAAATCAAGCTGACTTTCACTGTCGTTATTAGCTACTGAACTAAAATTAAACGCAAGCTGGACATAAAAATAAGTAAATTACAGCTTTTTTCTTTCTTTTTTTTGGTGTTTGTTCAAAAGGACAACATTTGATGTCCTAACTAACTCTGAGGAGCAACAATTAAGTTCTGAATTGATTTTTAAACCCTCGTGGTGAAAAGAAAAGGTTGTTAGTTGATTCAGTTTAGGCGAAAGGCACTTTTTGTTTAACATCAGCAACAAAGAGACAACTTTTTTCAGCAAGAGATGCTCAGATATTCAGAGGTGTAAATATAAGAACAGCACATCTGAACTGACGAGCTTGGCCCAAACACCTCCAGGCTGCTGCAGTTTGAAGTGAACGCATCACGGCTACCAAGTTCAGACAAGTCAGGAACAAAACTGAAAACAAGCAGCACAAAGTTTAGGAAAGATTTATTCGCATTAAGACAACCTTCAGTGAGACAGATGAGTGAAACTCTGACGGACAAACGTCCTCTGAGACAGAAAAGTCTGTCTATCAGGAGTAAATAAAGACGTGTGTAAGAAGACAACAGAAGCARGAGTTTGAGACAAATCAATTACCACGTTAGAACAATCCCTAAAAATGAAGCTATTTGTAAATTATTTTCTTAAGTTTGCTTCCTGGGATTACTTGCTTGTTTTATACAATTTAAAAACAAACTGATGAATTAATGGTTCGATGCTTTCAGCGTCTAATTAAAATAATGCGGTTTAATGATTTTTTTTCCGACCTGGGAATTCTTTGGTTAGGTGTATAAAATGAGAAACACWTGAGAAATGGATGACAGGCCACGGAACAATCCTGAAAATAAACCAGGACCGCTGGGTTATTGAACAGTAACTGATATTTAGGCACATGAGACTTTACAGGAGGATCCAATAGGCTTTTTTTAGCTGTTATGTGTGGATTGTTCCCACATAGCAGATAGGAGTGGGCCAGATGTCATGCTGGTTTGTTAACCAGATGTGGGCCAGGTCTGACAATAATGGCACTGTTTTAAAGATGGCATGCCACTGGCCTAGTTGTAATTTGGTTTATTTATAAACCACATCTGGGCCACCAATGGGCCTTCAATCTTTGTGGTATCTGGGCCATGTGTGAGGGCCAGAATGGGGCCAGACCAATTTTGCCGTGTGGATCCTGTCAGGTTCTGCTGCAGGAGAAACCTTTACGAGATTTTGTCTTGGACATCTGCTGTGATGCAGAACAGTTTGTTGTTGTGGAAGGTTGCTGAACTCAACCCTTAGATCCTTGATATTATTTTACATTACTTCTGTTCAAAATGTCGTCTGAAACGTTATAACTTGCATGTTATAATCAAAATAAAATTCTTGAAGTGGTTTGGTTGGAGTTTGATGCTTTTGGCTTTCCCTGGTCGCTCCATTTAAGAGAGTTCAGTTTTAAAAATGTAAAAAGGGACCACTTAAAAATAAATCCAGCACAAAACATTCATAACCTGGGAGAGGTGATTGTCTTCAGGTGACTTCTGAAAAGAAGCGAAGACGTGAAGAGGTGCAATGAGGTTTGTACAGAAGGTGATAAATGTGATTGAATCGCTAGACGAGGTACAAACGAGATGCAGAAGTTAAATCGAGATGGAGCTTTGTGTCTACCAGAAGGTCTCATAACACACACACACACACACACACACACACACACACACACACACACACACACACACACACACACACACACACACACTCCTGTTCGCACCACTGCACTTTCCACACCTCAATAATTCATAGCTGCTAAAATAATAAAAAAAATATCATCTTTGATGCACAGAGATTCAAACACCTTGAAGAGATTATTTTTCCAAGTCCTCTCCACTCACATAAAAATCTTCTCGGTGGCCGTTGGGGCACAAGGATAACGTAAAAACCAAACAACGGATGGTTCAAACTTGCGGTCGTGTTTGAAGGAGGCAGATGGACGAATAACCTCAGAGAGTTTATAARAGAAGAATCTGCATCCTGTAGCTGTCTTTTTCAGGACAGTGAATTATTCAGGGCTTTGCCATCTGTGGTGGACCACAACTATTCAGCCTTTAGCTGTCTTTAGCTTTATTCACTACAACCATTTACACCCCCC